AAGGCAGACGCTTAACGACTGAGCCACCCAGGCACCCCAGTTACATGCTATTTTCAAGAAGATGATGTTATTTGCTGACTGTAGGCAACCTATAAAATGCCCCCAAATAATCCCTTCCTCCAAGTATTCTTATCTTCATATAATTTTCTCTCCTTGACTATAGGTTGCATTTAGTGAGTCTAATAAATAGGACAGAAAAAAAAAAAAGAAGAAGGGGTGAGAAAGCAATGGGTAGGACCAGTCGTTCAGCCCCTGATGGTGTGCTGTTCTGGACTGGACTGTTCTTGGGCCATTCAGGGCTCCTGAGGGCTGAGAGTACCTGAGCAGCACGCAGTGTGCCCCGCGCACAGCTGGGCGTGGGGGGCGTGGGTGGGGGGGCGTGGAGAGGCGCTGCTGGCGTGCTGGGGCTGTGTCAGTTCCGAGCGTCCCCAAGGGAGAAGGGGCCAGATGACCCACGTTAAACCCTTACGGGTACTTGGTCAAGTGAGCCAGAGCCTCAATGATGGGCCACCCAAGGGGTGTGGGTGAGTGGGGACAGTGGTTGGGATCAGGCAGGAGGGGAGGTAGCATGGCAGGTGCCAAGTAAACCACTTGGGCTCCTGAGAGCTGAGTTCCAAGCCAAGAAAAATGAAAAGACAGGCCCCAAGGAGCCAAGCCTGGCAGGAACAAGTGCCAAGGTGCCCTCCCAGGAAGAACTTCCAGGCAGCAGGTAAGTGTGCAGGACATGGGAGCCCTTCTTTCCTGGGGCATGTGCCAGGGCTAGGGAAACACGGGTATTTGGCGAGGCATCTCAGGGAAGAGGAAGGGATGGAGACACTTTTAGCAACACATCACCTTGGAAAACCGCTAAGAGGAGGTCAAACTTGGCTGTGTGAAAGGCCTAATTGTCTCACAGACTTCCCTCCACCTGAGGCCCAAAGTCCTCCCCAGAGCCGGCAGCCCCAACCCCATCCAAAGCAGCATCCGATGCCCTGAATGGCCGATAATCCCGGTCAGAGAACAGGGAGCAGGAGGTGAGCCATGCCGAGGGAAACAACTAATTAAAGGACCAAGGGGCTGTTCAGGGGCTGGGACAGAGTCAAGGCCGAGGGAGAGAAAGAGGCTCCAATCCCAGGGCGTTAGCAATGAGACTGGTGACTGGGAGGGCAGCCTGCGGATCACACACTTAGGAAGCAAAGAGACACATGAAGAGAGCAGAGGCCACTCCTGTAGCTTAACCACCAGGGACATTCCAACAATGGGTAGAAGCTACAAACCCGGAGCAAAGCCTTGCTTGGGATCTTCCGCTGGAGCCTGTGTGTTGGACGGGCCCACGGTGAGGCTGGTCCATAAGGGGCTTGTCTGACCCTTCTCCTCTCCCCTGAAGGGCATCTCACAAACAACTGTTATGTCCCAGTTTGGGGCAGCTCCACCTGCCTCACGGGGCCCTGTCCAGTATCATGACAAAGAAGGCTTTCTTAGTGTCTTGACTAGATTACCCCCAGCGCAGGCTGGGCCTTCCAAAGGGTCAGCTTACCTTCCGTGACTGACATGCTGGTCCCACTGGGGTCATTTGGATGTGGAGCGGAAGGCGGATCATAGCCAATCACCAAGTCAATGGTGGCCTAGGTAGAAATAATTCATTGCAGAAGAATCAGTGCAGGGTAATAGACTCAATGCAAACTAAATCAGCAGGAGCAAAAAGTTCTGGAAGGGGCGAGCAGGAGCATGGGAAAGTGAGAAGAGGAGGGGAGAAGGATCACACACGTTCCATTGTTTCTATCCTCCCTCTTGTGAGCATGGCAGGCAGGAAAACCCGGGAAAGGAGTTACCTGTTGTAGGTTGCCAAGTGTACCATTGCTAAGGGGCAACCTCACTAACTGGAGCAAAGTTGTGATAAGCAAGCATGAACTTGTAATTAGCCTCCATCCTAGACTTGAGATGGTCTCCAGTCACAGAGGCTCATTTTACATGGTTGAGTTAGTTGTTTGCACCTTGACTTCTTTATTCATCGCTGAAGTTTATTTTCATTTTTCTCTTCTCTCTCTAAAAATAACTTGAGCGACTAACAAAAATTATATAACAATGTGATTCATAAAACAGGATAAAAAAGGGAATCAAGTCTGATAAAAGAGAAAATAAATATGCAAATCATGAAGTTTAAGATAATTGCATCTTGCATAAAATGTGACTCCAAGATGGCTAGGAACCAAGGCAAGAAGGAGAACAGAAAATGTTGTGTAACTTTCATTTTCAGAAAGGAAGAAACATACTAGTTCCTTACAGGAAATAAAGTCATTCCCACTTTTAAAATCTGAGATAAATTTTTCACATGGGGCATTACTTTAGGGCAGAGTTTCCTATACTTACGAATTTCATGAACCTACACAATTTCAAAAAGGTTTCCTAGAGAGCGTCAACATAGGGATGCTAACCCAAGCCCACCACTACTATCTACTGTTACGATAACTTCACAAAAGAAATGAATTTTAACAGCAAAAATGAGGAAGGACAAACCTCAGAATAAACGGAACCCTTTGCAAATACGGATGGCGCACGCGGCGCACACCCACACACCTGCATGTACACACCCAAGTTACCAGTTAAAATACAGACATGATATTTAGCACATAGTCATACTGAAAAATTATTCATTGTTTATCTGACATTCAAATTTCAGTGGGCATCCCACACTTCCACCTGCCACTCCTATGACACGTGGTAAACTCTAGTACATGCACACATTCGAGAGCATGCACGCACATGCCATACTGCTTTTTTTCATCTGTCTGTTCATCAGTGAATACTCCCTCATGGATCAGCACATTCTGTGGCCAACTTAGGAACTACAGATCTGGGAGACACAAAGGAGGCTCCCAACAACAGTTTCGTGGCAAATAAAGAATCGTAAGAGCAGCATCCCATGGCTACCTATGCCAAAGACCCAGGCCACGACCTGAAGGCTGAATGCAAGCAGCACTAAGGAGCTCAACTGCTAAACCTAAGTGAAGAATCAAACTTTCAAAACTTAGAAGAGGACATGGATGGCTCAACTTCTGAATCAGTGATTTCCTGATAACATCAGGAATCCCAGAAGTGCTCCAGTTCTATGTGTGCTTGCTTCTGTGCTTAAAAAAAAAAAAAAAAACAAAAACAGGGCGCCTGGGTGGCTCAGTCGGTTAAGCATCTGCCTTCGGCTCAGGTCGTGATCCCAGAGTCCTGGGATCGAGTCCCGCATTGGGCTCCCTGCTCTGTGGGGAGCCTGCTTCTCCCTCTCCTCCTCACTTGTGCTCTCTCTCTCTCTCTCTCTCACTATCTCTGTCTTTCTCTTTCAAATAAATAAAATCTAAAAAAAAAAAAAAAAATTAAAAATCTTAAAAAACAAAAACAAAAACAAGACCAGCCAGACACATCACTGACTTGTACCATCCTTCCTAAGTATCGTTTCTCTCAGCCAGGTTTTGGAAAAATAGATGATAGATGACATTCTGAGTTTATGTTTTAGAAGTTTGGGAGCCTAGACCAACAAAATAGACATTCTCAATAGGCTTTGAGAAGCCTAACCTGTAGTCTTGCCTACAGGGATGACCTATTTTAGTACAAAATTTTCTTCCTTTGTCCAGGCTCCCAAGCAAAATAAATTGATTGGAAAATAAAGGTGTTAGAGGTTAATGGGGCAAGCATGGTAGCTTTATGAGCACTGTTAGCAATCAAATGAAATCTGAGAGCTATGAGCTTTGAGTCCATTTATTTCTTTTAAGTGCACTCAAGAAAGAGAATTCTGGGTTCGCATCAGACAATATCAGTATGTACTTATTTAGAGAGGCTGTGGTCAGAAAACAGTCAGCTGCCAATCAGTGATAAACATCATGATATTCACATCTTGATGTTCCAAGGTAATACTAATGAAATACCTTCTACAGAATGTTTCAGAGCATGTCTGAGACACACAGCTATGCTCACCACACAAATGTAAACACCCAAGGGGATATGCACAGAACTATACCAAGAGAGGGTCCCACTCACTCTAGAGCATTTTCTTCTGTCAGAGAAAATCAAGTTTATCTAATCTATTAGCTCTGTGATTGCAAGTATAGGATAAGGCCATACCATTTGCAAGTGGACCTGTTATCTCAAAACCAGTAGGGGTGTGTGGGTGGGTGTGGGTGTGGGTGTGTGTGTGTGTGTGTGTGTGTGGTGAACTGATTATAATTTCACACTCTTCTTAATGAACTTTTTGCTTACTTATCTCACTTCAAAGCCATTCAACAAAAGAGAAAGTGCTCACCCCAGTATCTTGCCCCTTTTCGTTTAGCAGGGGGATGAGTTTGTATGGCAGCGATCTGCTCTGGTCACCAATCAGGTCCTTCAGGGCTACAGTGGCCGTGCCAATTAACCTGCAGGTGAAACAAGAAAGTGCACAGTAACCTAAGTGAGAGGCATGCTTCCACTGACTCAGTGGACCTACCCATTCCCTTTCTATTCGTCTGTTATCGTGAAAATCACTCATCATGAAATGAATTTTGGAATTTTGGCAATAAACATCACTTTTCCAGAACAAGTAGTCATTTCAAGAGTCTATGGTACCTATGAAATTTCAAGTCATGAATGAGATGACCCATGAATGGTCATGGGTCATCAGACAAAGACTGAATAGCACCCCTCAGAATCCGAGAGAAAAGTAGGACAAAATTTTTGATCAAAATTGCCCACTGTAAAATGCCCCCCCACCCCCACCGCCTCAGGGAGACCTTCTGCAAGTATAAACAGGTTGCTAGTTTACTGATGAGGCCAACTTACTAACCTGTATACTCGGGAGCAGAATTCAAAAGTTGGATGGGTGTCCTTTTCCCTCAACCTAGGCCCGGAGGGATTATGTTCAACTTCTACCACTTACCCAGCTACCCCTCAGTGCACATAACCTAACAGTACAGAGGCACACGTGTCTCCCTGCTCACCACAGTCAGGCCCCGAAAGGCACAGACTGTTGCTTTTTCTATTCACTACCCTCACCCCACTGCTTGGAACAGAGTTCATTTATTCATAGATATTTACTGAATGAAGGAAAGAATAAATAAGTCTATATACATTAAGAATGAACACCCAAAACATTTTTGTAGTTAGGGCGCATGGTCAAAAAAATTTACTGAACACACAACCCCTGAGAGTTAGTGAATACAAAAATGTGACCTGCAGAATATAGTTCTGTACATTGGGGGTTATAATGGACAACACGGTATGAGATTGGGTGAATTGAGGAAGTTCCCTTTGTGAAATGCAATGAAAAAGCAAAGAAAGTCCAGAGGTGTGCTCTCAGTATGGACACCGAAAACAGAAAAGAGAAACAGGAAGAATTTTAAAATATTTAAAAATTAAAAATTATTTACTTATACCTTGCCTACATTTGCAGTGACTGATACTAATAAATGGCAGATATGATAGCATGAATATCATTAGCATAAAAATAGAAAACTAAGCATCAAATCCTCAAAGTGATAGAAGAGATTCCTTATATCAAAAAACCCAGGGTGAAGAAACCATAGTTGAGCATAAAACATAACTCTGGGCTTTTGGGCAAAAGTAATAATCAGGAGAGTTCATCTTGCAGGGGAACTATTCCTTTCATTTTCACATGTAGTAGTTTCTTTAAAAATCAGGAATGAAAACTGATGTTAACGTGCGAACGCTTACTTTGTTTTTTTTGTTTGTTTGTTTTGTTTTTTTTTAAGGATTTTATTTATTTGACAGAGAGAGAGAGCACAAGTAGGCAGAACAGCAGGGAGAGGGAGAGGAAGAAGCAGGCTCTCCACGGAGCAGGGAGCCTGACGTGGGGCTCGATCCCAGGACCCACGAACGCTTACTTTGAACTGACGTTTATCTGTATTCTCCTGCCCCCCCTCAAATCTCAGAAATGGAACTAGATTGTAGATCTGGGGTCAGTCACTCAACCACATACATCCATGGACTTGACAATATGAACAAGTGACTTCACTTTCTGTGAATAGGCATATTATATGGCAAAAGACCAGAAAATTGCTATGGCACCCTGTTTCACCCAATCTACCCAATGGCATGAAATGCTGCACATAGTTTCTTGGAAGAAGGCACGTTCTTGGACAGAACACCACATAAGATGCTCAACAACCGTGATGGATTCTCATCTCTTCTCATATCTCAAGTAGAGCCAGTTACTGGCAATGGAAAGGACAAATTCTGCCTCCAGAGGGTGAAGAGTGAACACCTTTTAGGTCAATACAGGAATTGAGTCTCTCAGTCAATGCTGAGAATTGATGGAGCCTTTATAGAGTAATTTCTCACATGAGTATGTGCACTCACTAAGTTTGCTAAATTTTTTTAAACTGGGTATGTTTTCTCCTCACTTGGATTTTAATTCCCCTGACATATTGAGGACAAGAGTCTACTACACATGACTTCATCGCCACCAGATGAAACAAGTACACCTCCCACACAAAGCGAGAGTCCCTGGCAAAATCTCTTCCACGTCTCCCTCAGCCCCACATGATATGAGCTTGATGAGCATTTCTTCCCAAGTTTTTAAAAATAGCATAGTAAGCCATGAGGTTGGCTAATTGAGTTTTTAGGATGAAATGGGAAAACTACAATTTCAAAAGTCATCTGACTGGTATTAAATGTCTAAATGGTACTCGCCTTGAAAGACATGGAAACACACTGGATTTTATTCCTCACAGTTCCATAATTCATAACCTAACTGTACGATTAAAAGAACATCGTACACTGGACATGTACAGATTTGCTTTTGCTGAAGCCAAGATGACCTGAAACTCTTATCAGCAATAAACACTTCTTAGGAGAAAACAAAGTATAGCATGCTGGGACGATACTGAAAGAGGGCTGGCCTGGGGTTGGACCAGCATTTATCAACCTTGGCACTACTGACATTTTGAACTGGACAATTGTTTGGGGGGGCTGCGCTGGGCTTTGTCCAGTGTTCAGCAGCATCCTTGGCCTCGACGCACTGGCCTGTCTACACCTTCCCAATTGTGTCCTGGTGGGCAAAACGGCCCCAGGTTGAGAAGCACTGGGTTAGACAGTTTCTGTTCTTGCCCTAACTTGGTGTCCCAACTTCCCTCAAGCCTCAGCTATGTCACCCAACTCTCCGAGCCTACTTTGCTATCTGCAAATGAGTGGCTTGAAGTAAATCATTTCTTAGACCCTTCTCAGCTATTAAAGTCTGTAGCGAGGCTCGTACATGTGATGTTTTCTACATAGGTCTATTTAGGAAACCATCTCATGTTAAATATTTCTTTTCTCTTAAAGTCCTTGTTCATTGATTTAGGAAAAAATAGATCTTAAAATACGTCCATGTTGGACAATCCAGAATACTATGCAGGGTTTCTGCCTTCAAGCTTATTCGCCTATAATCTCTTGGGTCAAGCTTAAATTCATATGGTGTCAGGGGAAAGGTTAGGCCAATAACAGAAATGCGGACTACGTGTAAGACAGTAGGGAGCGGTGCCTTGTGCTAAATGGAGAGAACAGGATCACCTGGGACATGAAGCCCATCCACTGGCCCTTCCTGGCCCGGAATGGTTTTACAGCCTCCATTCTGACACAACCACTGTCTGCAGCTCCCCTCCCCGCCCCCGGAGGCCGTGAGAGGTTGGCAACAGAGAACAGACCAGGAATGGAGTAAAAGAAAAGCAACCTACTTCAACCCAAACCTCAATTCCTTCTTTCAGAAACCCTTAGTCCCATTTCTTAAGATTTACTTTTTTCATCAAAATTCTGATGCTCTGATGTTTGTATGTGGGGGAGATGGTTTAAAAGTAAATTTCACTTTCTTTTTTCGGAAGTAAAGATACTGTGTTTAGATGAAAGCCTGGAAAGATTTTAACCCCCCCTGCAAAATATTTTTAACAGCTAGGTTGAGTTGAAGAAAAATGCATGCAGCTGCAACGTCTAAGGGGTTTCACTGTAAATTGGAGGAAACACCCCCTATGGGCAAGTCTGAGCTCTGCAGGACTCCGAGGGTCCCGCCAGCCTGGTGTAGGCTGTTGTCATGACCCGGCCTCCTACGCAGGGGACAAGAACAGTTCAGCCGGACCACAGACCAGTTTCCTTTAAAGGAGGTGACACTAAACCAAGAAGCCCTTTTTCTTTCACATTACTAACGCTATAAATATGCTAAATATCTATAGTGGGACAGTACTGCGCATGCTTCGCCCTGAATCTGCATGGAAAACTAAAAGTCTCCCCATGGACTCCACCCAACACTAAAACAGATGGACCACGTCTCAGAAGGAAAATTTACAGTGAAAGAATCTCAAGGCCCCTTAGCTCTCCAGCTTTACTTGCAGAATTAATAAGCTGCAGATGTATTCTGAAGTGAAGAAAAGCCCAGTCCTGCTCTTATCCCTTAACAGTTCTTGAACATCTAGATAGTGTTGAGTAGGGTCTCCATGCGACATGGAACTAATTCTGAGCAGTGGAACTGTGAACCACTCAACTTAGTCATGCAAGGGTTGGTTAAGAAGTTCTTTAACTTGTTAAAACGAAGTCTAGTATGTTTAAAAAAGAGAAAAGGGAAACATTCTCCCTGTTAGCACAGACACAAACATTAACAACCACATGCCACTGTGGTGAGTAAGGGCTTTGCTGGCCGAGTTCTTAATCATGAGAGCTCACATATATCAAGCTGTTCTGTACAGCAGGGACACAGCCCACATGGATTACTGGAGGAGGGTTTACTGGAAATTCCTTCATGAAGGGAAGGAAAAATACGTTGGACTCTGGAAATTAAATCACATGTTGTGCTGTTTTCACCTTTACAGACTGCAGCGTGTCTCAACTTTCCATGCTCTGGGAGGGCATAACGATCTCCAGCTGGGCTGAGGACAAATACTTCTCCGAGCTGCTCCCAGGTCCCCTGTAGAAACCCCGAAAGGGCCAGTCATGCCCACCCTTTGAAGCCAGCTGAGTTTTGACGTTTCAACCAGACCAGGCTGGTGTGTGGCCTTGGGGTTCCCTGGCTGGGCCCCATCACCCGTCCCCACACTTCTTCCCCAGGGCCAGTATCATTCAAGTTCTTCCCCTGCCCCACCCCCACCCGGACCCCCAGCTGAGCCCAAAGGTGGGAGAGCCGGGCTTATGCCTTGCTCATGACCAGATGAGTGGGAGAAGCTGGGGCAACCATGACAGCAAATCCTATCACAGGAAGCCGTTTGTAAGCCAAACCCCCCTCAAAGAGCATCTCTGGGTCTCTCATCCACTTCACCAGTGGGGAACCCTCCTGAATCTCCCAGGCGGCCCACCCTGGCCCTTTGGATTAGCTCATCCATCGTTTCTGAGATCATGGTTCCCCAGACCTCCCCGCGGCAGAATCACTAGGGCAGTCACAGATTCCCAGGACCCTGAGTCAGACTTTGTCTTTAGCTCATTCTTATACCCAGGAAGTTTGAGAAACAATGGTCTAAAACAGTGATTCTCAGTGGCAGCAGGGGGGAAAAGCAGAGGGATGGGTGGAGGAAAGGGGGGGCAGGGTAGGAAAGGCAGCTGGCAAAGCTAGATCCAGAGAGAGGGAGCTGTGTCGTTTTTAAAAGTACATTCAATACGATAACACAGGTTTACATTTGAAAAATGGGCAGAGAAATCCAATTATTTAATAGGACAAAGTAGTAAACAAAACTCGAATAAAATCTACTCATTAAGCCTACTTATCTGTACCTTTCCTGTGGCTTCGCCTCCTCACTCCACACCAGGATTGTCAGAGAGCCTTGGGGCCTTCGCCCTGTTCATCAAATGGTGGCTCCCAAGCTTGGCTGGGTACCAGCCCCTCTGGGGTAGGACTGTGCTTTGTACTTTTCACAAACTCCCGTTCCTGGGTTTTGGAATCACTGACCTAGTCTGGAGGCTGTAGCAGGTTTTGCAGGATTCAGGGCCGGCAACAACTTCCTTTTTTCCAGTCCCTCCCAACCCTGCTGCCTGCAACAAATGGCGTCACTTCAACCAGAGAAGGAGCAGAGTAGAAGCCAAGGCCTTTGCACCCAAAGCTCTCCCGATCAGGGAGGCACCTGGGCTGGAGTCAGGCACTTTGTGGCCGCAAGGAGCGGGTTAGCTAGCCTAATGCCTGGCATGCAGGTGAGGCTCGGTAATTACTTCTGGGATAAATGACTTTAACCTGCTGTTTAGCTATTTTCACCTGACCAATTCTCCTGCTTTTTCAGTCCTCAAGGATCTGAATCTGTGCTTGCCTGCTTGTGCAATGTAGGGGAACACCCAGGCTCTGTCTCTGTCTAATCCCCCCAGTCTTTAGAATCAAGGTAGTAGTTTTCTTTCTTTCTTTCCTTCTTTCCTTCCTTTTTCTTTTTCTTTCTTTCTTTCTTTCTTTCTTTCTTTCTTTCTTTCTTTCTTTCTTTCTTTCTTTCTTTCTTTCTCTCTCTCTCTCTCTCCATTCCTTCCTTCCTTTCTCTTTCTTCCTTTCTTCCTTCCTTCCTTCCTTCTCTTTTCATTCATTCATCAAGAACTTGGACCCAGCAAGGTGAGGGAGACAGAATAACAGTGATTGAGAACTTGGAGCTAAGCAGAGCAGACTAATTCAGACTCACCCTTGTACTAGAGGCCGTATACAGGTTGTTGTACTTCTCTGAGCCTCAGTTTCCTTGTCTGTCAAATGGGGATTATGGCAGCTACTACCTAACAGTATTGTAAGGATGATGTGGTAAGTGCTTAACAGTTACTTTTTATTATTTCAAAGACACTCTTCTAGAAAAAGGGATCCAAAACAAGCACGTGACACCAGGCCAGGGAAAGCTGGTATGAACTCATGCACAGCCTAAATCACAGGAAGGGGCCATCTATGCAGGGATTTGGGTAGGCAGGCAGGAATGAACAGATAAGAACCCCTTTAAGTACCCACATCCATTTCTGTTATGCAAAGTTCTTAAAACTTTCTCTTATGTACATGAAACAGCTCCCTCCCCAACTCCAATGCTGTATAAACCAAGAATCTGTTTGGAAAACAATTTTTATTTTCAGGATTAGATAAGAAGTAAATTTCAGCTGTAACTGAATTCTCATAAAACCCAATTGGTGGAATCTGAATAAAGTTTTTAAAGCCATAGGTTTCATAAGATGTTTCACTATAAAACAGACCCCAAAACAATTCCTTACATAAAAACCCTATTTAACCAGCACACACACACACACCCCTCGTCATTTTCTCCTCCTTTCCCCCGCTTTATTTTTCTTCATCATTACTGACCACCATCTGATGTTGGTGTTCCCTCCATTCAGATGCAAGCCCTGTGAATGGCATGGAGTATGCCCAGTGTCTGGAGCAGTGTCTGGTACACGTAGGCATTAGTACTCATTTGCCGAATGAATACATTAATTGATACATCACTGAAGATAGTCCCATAACCTTGCAAATGACTTCCAAGTTGTAAAGCTTCCTCTCCTAAGAGATGGTCCTCCAAGTGCAGTTAGAAGACACTTACAGCCCTTGGGGCACCTGGGTGGCTCAGTCGGTTAAGCGGCTGCCTTCAGCTCGGGTCATGATCCCGGAGTCCCAGGATCGAGCCCAGCGTCGGGCTCCCTACTCAGCGGAGAGCCTACTTCTTTCTCCCTCTGCTTCTCTCTCTCTCTCTCTCAAATAAACAAATAAATAAATAAATAGAAGACACTTATAGCTCTTGTCATTATGAAATGCCTTTCTCTTTCAAGTCTCTCTGGATCTTTCTACAGGGCTGTGGGCCACCTTTACATACTCATGAGATGTTGACGGATGCCAGCAGGCTTGTGGCAGCTACTTAACTGGCCCTCCCACACCCTGGGGTTCAGCCTTTCCAGCACCCGGACTCAGCCCAGCCCAGGCCAGTTTTGATCTTTTCATAGCTCTGCTGCTCTACTGAAAATATGGAACTAAAGAGAACCGAACCGAGAACGCCATGCCATAGTAACGTCGGCTTCTAGTTAGTTGTCCACGCAGCCTGTGAAGCTGCTCCAGTGGGCTGTCCATCCCTCTTCACCAACCACAGTGGAAAAGGAAAGGTGGTGACTTCACCTACACAGATCCCACTATCTCGTTTACATGTGGCAGTGTCAGAAGTGAGAGTCTCATTGCTAGGAGAAATCCAAGTATTAAAAGACTGAAGACAAGGTCTTTTGTATACCAGGAAATGAAAATTTCTCATAAGCCATACCATACCTCTCCACGAAATTAATTTCATTCCAAACCACAGTCTCTGTTTTCTCTAATAAAAAAGAAAAACAAAAAACCCCAAAAAGCCATAAACCTTTGCTCAGGGAGTTAGTATATTTCACAACCCAAGCTTGTCTTTTTTCTTTTTCTAATTCTGTAGCCCCCGGTACCACTCTGGGTGTATGTGTGTGGGTAGCTCTAGACTCCCACCTGCATGATCCCAACTCTGGAAGACAACTGGGACCTGCCTGACTCCCCCTCCCTGAACTGCGGCCTGGGAACACTCTCTAGGCATTAAGTTGGGCACTCACAGGGCTCATTTCATTTACCTCCCCTTTCTCCGCAGTCACTGTCCCATGTTGCTGGTGTTCAATACCTGAAACCATGGTTATATATGTTTTCTGTAGTTTTTTGGTGTATCAGGTGAGTGAGTAGATCTGGTCCCTGTTATTTTATCTTCGTGGAAGCAGAATGTCCAAACTATGGTCACATTAAGGCCTGGAGGGGTTAAGTCACTTGCCTGAGGTCACCACTAGTCACCGGTAGAGCTGAGTCTCTAAGCAGTCTCTGTCTGCCTCCCGAATCTCAGCTTTCAAGCACTATGATCTGCTACCTTCCTCTGAGCTCAGGGGTAAGCTCCACATCTCTCTACAAAAAGGCAGGAACTTTGGGACAGGTGTTTGTTTCCCTTGTGATCTGACCCCTTTGCGTTCTGACTCCTTTGCAGTTTAAACCCAAGTTGGAACCAAAGGGCTGTCCAGAGAGCTGAGCTGGACAGATTCCACATCAATGGCCTATTACGAGGTGGGCTAACTGTTCAATGCAAGATACTTTAGATTTCATTCATGTATTAGTATCATGAACTTGTTAATTCTTTCAATAAACACTTACTGAGAGCTTATTATATGCTAGGCACTGTGCTAAACGCTGGTGTTACAGCAGCGAATAAGACAGATGTGGAGCTCACTGTCTAGTAGGGGAGGGCCAAGTGAATAACCAAATAATAAGAACATGTCAGATGGTGGTGAACTGAGCGAGATAAAGCAGGAATGTGGACTAGCCACACCTCTGAGTACTTATCTAAAACCCAACACAAATGTCCACATGCCCAGCTGGACTCCCTCCACCACTCCCAGGCCCATATGAGCTCGCTAACAAGAAGGGCTCTCAGGAAACAAGGCAGGGTGATGAGCAACAGTAGGGTCTGCTCTAGGGTGGGTGGTCCCTGATGCCAAGGCCAAATGACAACATTTCAGGGAAAGAGTCTTCCATGCAGAGGGAACAGTAAATACAAAAGCCCTAACTGGTAACTCTTTTCCTCCTTAGCATGCATGCAAGCACAAGCATGCACACTGCGCGCGCATGAGCGCACACACACTCACACACACACACACACACACACACACGCTAACCTGAAATCTTGTAAACACCTCTCATTCCTACATTGCCAGGCTCCTAAAGCTGATTCTTCTTTAGGAAATCAGGTGGAGTGACAGTTGGGCCAGGATGCCAAGGGATCAGGGTCCCAGCCTCAAATCTCATCTCCACTTCTCAAAGTCATTGTGAAGACCACATGAGATGAGATACACTTTCCAAATTTATCTTGTCCATTGTAGAACATGAGCATAAGTGACTTACTCTTCAAGAGTATAAAAATGCCTGCTTAAAACTGTTAAGTAGGGAGGAATTACCAATATTCTGATGACTGTTCTTAATTTTTTTTGCAAAATTAGAAAGAAAAATTACTTCCATTCTAGCCGACAGTTAATCAGTAATTCCACCTACACTTGGGTTCCTACAGGTGGTTTGAGGTTTTCAGTATAATGTAAAAGTCAAGAACACAGGCCTGGACATAAATGCTGACTCTGACACATACCTACTATGTGACCTTGAGCAGAATACTAAGCCTCTCTGGGGAAAAATAGGACCTGCTTCAGAGGGTGTCTGTAATTAAGTGGATAATGCCTTCAAAGGGCTTGGCCTAGCCCTCGGCACTCCCTAAGTCCTCGCTCGGTGATAGCTGAATTGCCTGTCTGCAGAGAGAACTCTTATTCTTCAGCGGCTGGGAAAAGCCTTCTACTCTGACATTTCAGCTAAAAATATTTCATTTTCATCACATGACCAAGCGGCACTTCTGGCTCTTCTCTCACCCTCATTCAGCCTGGAGGGCTGGTTGGAGGACTCTGAAGTGGGGAAGGACAGAGTCTGCGCTGAACGGCCCAGCCAGCTCCCAGCGCCCGGGAAGGATGTTGCTGATGCATCATTGCATTGCATGTAGGGACCAGCTCTGGCAGTCCGCCCTGGGTGTGGGCAGGGGCGTGCAGGCAAACCTGTTTGTTCCCAGGCCCAGAGCAGCAGATGCCGAGTGAGAGCCGTGTTTGCACAACCAGTTTCCATGGCAACAGCAACATCAATAGGCAAGACATTCCGTAAGCTGGTAGAAAAACTCTGCCCCCCACCCTGTACTTACTACCAGGGGAAAGGAAGTTCCCACACTGAGCAGTGAGCAGATCCCTGAAGGCCAAATCTTTAGTAAAAAAAGCCAAGAAAAAAAACCTGGGGCCAAAATACACAAACAGTTTGGACAAACATACAGCGTATTCCCAGATTCCTGCAATGTACTTACAGGCAAATTTGACCAAGGTATATGCATTGTTTACTTGGTGGCAATAAGGTCAAAGTTCACAGTTCCTGAGGAGAAGCATGCGGCTTAGCACCGTAAGCCCACAGACAACACTGGCATTATCATCCACACTGTTCATTCCAAAGCCAACTCAGGGTTGGCTTTCACCGGAAGATGGTGACCAATGACGCAGCGACATTTGTAGGACACAGAACTAATCTTCCAATTAAAAAGACTTCCCCCGGGGACCCTGCCATAAGGGCCTAAAATTCCCATTTTGTTCACTTCTTCAGATGAGTCACCAGTGGCCTCAGTCCCCAGATCACTGTTCTTGGGAAGTTAACACAATATCAACTATTAGTGTCCATCCCACCGTCACCTGGGTTTTTAATATATTGATTACATATTGAAGTGATAATAAGCTGTATATACTGAGTTAAACAGAATTCAGAGTAATTCAGCTCCTCAGAAAGCTCCTTTCAACCAGCAAGCCCTTGAAGGACTGAGAACGCGACAGATAAATGGTGTTGGGAAAAGACTTGGCACAGATCTGGCACAGAAGGCAGGCCGGAGTGAGTACGCTGGTGGGAGCCCTGGGACATAAATATGGACACTGGGTGCCTGGGGGACTTCAGAGGGAGGGGGACCCCCCCAGAAGAAGGGGAGGGAAAGGCTGAAAGAGTATGGAACACCAGCTTCATATGTACCTTTTTCTGGCCTAAAAATTCCCGTCATAATAATGCCATAGTAACGACTGGCTCCTCTGGTCATTATGCTCAGCACACAGCATAACACCAAGCACAACGTATCTCTGCAAGATGCATGGAGCCCCAAACATTAGAAGGACCCTCTTCTATCAGAACCCACCATAGTTTCTTTGTTCGAATGTAGGAAGAAATTGTCAGGATCAGAGAGACTGCGCATCAACTCTGTCTCCAGAAAGGCACACCGAACCCCCAGAATGAGTGCCAAGCTGAGCCGTCGGGTGGGGACTTGTCCTCTTCCCATGACTGCTGTCATCCAAGGGCCCCACTGTGTTTTCAACAGGTGTAAAATGAATATATAATGGTCTCCCAGTATTGTTTTCCCTACTTCCTAACTGGTTGCTGCATCCAGTCTCTACACACAAAGCCTGAATGATCCTTTTAAAATATAGGTTAGATCATCCTCAACCCCCCTTAATGGATTCCCATTCTACTAGGAATGAAATCCAAAGCCCGAGCCGTGGCTCACAAAGCCATACATGCTGGGGCTTTCCTGATCTCATCTCCTAGCTCATACCAGCTTCTCCTGCTCTTTGTGCTCCAGCCTCACTGGCCTCCTTGGTGTTTCTCCGACACCCCACATCCACTCCTGCCTTCTCTCTGCCTGCAATATTCTTTCCCCCAGATAGCTGCGTGGCCCATTCCTTCACTTTATTTAGGTCTCTGCTTAATTGTCACCTCATCATCACCTCATATAACACTGGATCATCCCCCCATTATCAGTCACTCTCTATCCTTCCACTCCGCTTTATTTTTCTTCATGGGCTATACCATATAATGGTTTCCTCCTTATCTTAGATCACGCCATAGCACCTGACCCATTCTATAGTTCTTCATATATTTGCTTGTTTTCTGACCCTACTCAAGCACACTGCCTTCAAAAAAGCAAGGATTTTGTGTGAAACATAGACGAGAGCTCCATGGCCAGGCTTTGCCGCCACACTGAAATAGAAGAGGCATAAAATGATGAAGACTTGAACCAGGCTGGTGGCTATGGCCAAGAGTAAGAAACACATGGCACAAACAATGGAAAGGAAGAGAAAATAAGATTTGGCAACAGATTGGATAGGTTATAAAAGGAAGACCCACAGGCGCCTGGGTGGCTCAGATGGTTGGGCGTCTGCCTTCGACTCAGGTCGTGATCCCGGCGTCCTGGGATCGAGTCCCGCATCGGGCTCCCGGCTCAGCGGGGAGCCTGCTTCTCCCTCTG